AAAAACTAATATACAACAAAAGAAGTGGCAAGATGTCAACATGGCAGCTTCCAAATAGCTTGTAGAGCTGGTTCAGTTCCAGACACAAGTAAGTTGTTAGCCTTTTCTGTGTTGGGAGGCAAGACCCTGCTGCACTATAAAAAAACTTTGAGAGTCCATGGGTTGCATGTCCTAATATATAACTCCCAAAAATAACACTAACCAGCCACCAGGATAAGAAGTGAGCAGTAATACAGTACCTTTCAAATCAGACACCCCAGGTGTAGTAATGTATAGTATGAAGGTGGTGCAAGGTTGCTTGACACGCAGATCCCTGGCGAAACTTCAATATCAACCAGAAGTTGATACCTCTCCGTGGCCCAACAGATAGATCTCACCACGTGGCTTCCACCACATCGACTGCAGCCACCTTTGTTGTAATGCATTGGTACACAATCCTGTCCTGTGGGTATACAGGGTTCCTCTAATTCGGTGGAACTTCGATGAGGCACCAGGATAACTCTCACCCAGTGGAGAGTCAGTCAAATGCTGCAGATTCCCAGAATTCAAAGGGCAGAAAGATTGGCCGTCTCTCTCACACCCACACCCTAAGGTAGGTCCCAGTGTTGTCTCACGCTAGTACTGCCAAATATGTGTGGCTTTCAAGTTAAGTTCTGTTTCTAGAGAACCTGTGAAGTTGCAAAATGTTTTCTGAAGGTATAGTGTCTGGAATGTCTGACTATCAAAGGGACTCTCCAGTGCCAGGAAAACAAACCGTTTTCCTGCACTGCAGGTCCCCTCTCCCTCCCATCCCCATCCCAAGTTAAAACCCCTTCAGTGACTTACCTGTATCCAGCGTCCCTCGGCGCTGGGTCAGGGTCCGCCCACGCTCCTCCCCCGGCGACGTCATCTGGCAGGGGAGACCTATTGCGCATGAAATATTTCTCTCACTGGCCTGCACACACATGTTCCACCCTGATGCACAGCGCAGGCCCAGTGGACATGATCTACACCCACCAGGGAAAATGATTCCTCCCCCTGCTGCCAAGGCTCAAAGTAAGGAGACACCCTGCAGCCCCTGTCTCTTCTTTTAACCCAGCAGCCCCATGTCCCCCTCACACCCAGCAGCCACTGTCTCCCTCTCTCACCCAACAGCCCTATGTCCTCTCTCACACCTAGCAGACCCATGTCCCCTTCTCACACCCAGCAGACCCATGTTCCCCTTCCACACTCTAAAACTCCTATCCCCAGGGCCGGATTACCATAGGGGCTGATGGAGCAGCATCTCCAGGCCCAAGTCCATGGAATAGCCCTATTGATTTTAAAAAATATATATATATATTTATTTTTTTACACACTACTCTTAGGGTTGCCAGGTATTTCTTAGGGCTGCCAGGTATTTCTCAGAAGTATATCTCAGGTATTTGAGGCTGCCTAGCCCGTGCCGGTATTGCAGTAATACCGGCAATACAAATGTCATTCTTAGTATGTGGATCCGCGAGGGGGAGCAGCTCTGCACAGAGAGTCCAGACAGCAGCTCAGAGCCTGCAGAGACAGCCAACAGCTCATGTAAGTAAGGGATGGGGGAAAGGCTACAGGGAGACATGGGGACACAGACACTAGGCGACACTGAGACACTAGGGGACACTGTGAGAAATGGGGGCACTGAGACACTAGGGGGCACTAAGACACTGGGGGACATAGGGACACTTGGTGACACTGAGACACTAGGGGTCACTTGGAGACCTGGGAACTCTGAGACATTAGGAGAAACTGTGAGACATGGGGACACTGGGTAACATGGGGACCCTGAGATACTAGGGACACAGTGGCCCCATGTCTCCCAGTGACCCCTAGTCGCTCAGTGTCCCCATGTCTTCCAGCCAGTGTCCCTAGTGTCTTAATGTCCCCATGTCTCCCAGACTCTCCATGTCTCTCCATGCCTCCCAGAGTCCCCATGTCTTACAGTGTTCCCATGTCTCTAAGTATCCCCTAGTGTCCTAGTACATGGGGACACTAGGAGACATGGGGACACAGACTCTAAGGGACACTGGGAGACATGAGAATACAAACACTAGACTAGGGGACACTGGCCGACATGGGGACATTGGGTGACTTTGAGACTTGGTAGACATGGGTCACTCCCAGTGTCCCCATGTCTCCAAGCCAGTGTCCCTAGTATCTCAGTGTCCCCATGTTTCCCAGTGTCCCTGGTGTCTCTCAGTGTCCGTAGTGTGCCAGTGTTCCTAGTGTCTCAGTGTTTCCTAGTCTCCCAAAGTCCCCTAGTCTCCCAGTGTCCCAATGTCTCCCAGTGTTCCCATCTCTCCCAGTGTCTCTGTGTCCCCTAATATAAAAGAAAAAATCTCAGGCACTCACTGTGATAAATTTAAGCAGGTTTATTGGACATCGCAACGTTTTGACCTGTACCCAGGTCTTTATCAAGTTTGAAGTGTCCCCTATGTATCACAATGTTTCAGTGCCCCATGTCTCCCAGTGTCCCTGGTGTCTCTCAGTGTCCTTAGTGTCTCAGTGTCCCCTAGTCTCCCAGAGTCCCCTATTCTCCCAGTGTACCCATGTCTCACAGTGCCCCCAAGTGCCTGTGTCCCCTAGTATAGAAGAAAAAAATCTCTGGCAATCACAGGTTTATTGGACACTGCAGCATTTTGACCTGTACCCAGGTCTTTATCAAATCTCCAATGTCCCCTATATATCACAGTGTCCCCTATGTATCAAAGTGTCTCAGTGCCCCATGTTTCCCAGTGCCCCCTCGTGTCTCAGAGTCACCCGGTGTCCCCAGGTCTCCCAGTGTCCCAATGTCTCTCAATGTCCCCTAGTGACATGGGGACACAGGGAGACATGGGGACACAGACACTAAGGGACTGGGAGACATAGGGACACAGACATGTTGCCTTTTTGGGTATGTTCGCCCCTTTTGGCAGTTCTAGTTATGTGATTTGCGTCATCCTTCCATAGACTTCCTGCTTTACTGGACACTGCTGTATGTGGGTATGGATTTACTTGAAAGATGAAACCGTGAGATTAGCATAGTTTATGTGTTTTGTCATAGCTGCATCCTATGAGTTTCCGTCCAGCACCATCTCCATCAGATACACTTGGGAGGTAGGACTGTTTTAGTGTTTTTGGTCGATTAAGATTTTGTAATTAGGCCCATCATAATTGTCAGCACCAGGCCCACTGGGCTCTTAATCTGGCCCTGCCTATCCCCCCCTCGCACAACATCCCTTATCCTCTCCCCCACACACATTCCCTATTCCACTACGCTACATGTAGGCTGCACAAAAATGCATCAAACAGATATGCCCACTTTGCATGTCATTGGTGATGTCACACCATGCACCCTCTCAGGACGCACCCATCCAAGGACTGCTCTGACTTTAAATGCCCAGGCTGCATTTTTGTCCCTGCTCATTATGTATGCTTGTTTATTCTATGCCCCTCAGTTATTATTTTTGTTTTCATCCTTGTAAGAAGTAGGCTGTCTAAAAGCCACTATAAGTATGTATTCAAGTAAAACATTGCTATTTCTCAGAAACTACAATGTTTTATATTGTCCAAGAAAAAGGAGCAGCATCTATGCACCAAAATTAGGGTATTAACATGTATTGGTTTTGGTGCATAGGGTGTCCCTTTGAATATGTTAGTTTAGAGGGCTCACTTATGAGTGGTGAAGCTCCTTACAGGCCAATAATAAATATGTATCTATCATTACTTTGCATCCATGCTCAGATATGTGCTTGCACTGACATCACCATTATATTAATGAGGTAAGTAATGTATGATGATGTAAAAAAATCTTTGTATAAATATGTAGATATAATATTTTGTCAACGATGCATACATATAGAAAAATGTTTTATGACTCATAGATGCATCGCTGAGAGGCCCTAGAGATAATTATATAATAAAAATAATGTAAGTTGTAGAAGTCTCAAACTACTGTACATGAAGCACATAAACTTCATGGCAGACGCTTTGCAAGAGCTGGACTTATAACACAGAGGCTGTCACACAGTGGTTAAAATATTTTGCAGCAAATTTCCTAGTGTCAAAGTACTAATGGATTTGAAGCTTAACTCACAAGTTGGTCCTGAATCCTATTTAGTGAACACCCCATCGTATGTATTTTGAAGGCAACTTGATTTTTCATGGCTGTTCTTTCTCACATTTCAACTTTCTGAGTGTGCCCCTGGTTAGTGTGAGAAATTATTGGCACCAAGTTAGATCCTCCTATATTTGCCTCTTATCTCCATAATATCCGAATAATGACACAATGGATTACATTTTCCCTTCACAAGACGTCTACAAAGGTTGCCTAAATGTTACCTGTCAATGCAGAGAGCTGTGATGATTCCAACCCCAGTGATCTGATTATTGAGATCCAGAGTAGTGACAGCACGGCACAAGAGGTCCCCAAATACCCATCCTCTGTCATGAAGAAGTTGATGGATGAGAAGCGGCATCCCAAGCAAAGACAGCAGGTCAGCCAAAGCTAAATTCACAACGTAGAGGTCCGACACCAAAGTGTGTCGACAGCTGAGCAGCACAGCTAAAACCAGTCCATTACAAAGGACCCCACAACCACATATCATCCCATACACTACTCCCCACCCGGGACCTCGCGGGGACACTGCACCTGTGGATGGGGGCATATTTGTGGGAATCCAAGGAAGAGAGGGTGTCATTTTTTTGGAGACCGATGAGTATAAATGATATTAGCGGACGCTCAGATTAGGCTTGCTAACTAATTTTTTAACCTTTCCAAATGGCAGCTAGATAGTAAAATGTGTCTCCGTTCCTTATATATTTTGTTCCCCATTTGTTTCCAAGGTGACAGTATTTGAAAGATATCAAAAAGATTTGGTATTAGATAACTAAAGATACATACATACAAAGAGAACCTCTCATTCTTACTGACCTTCTCTTCCTCTTTCCAAACGAAGTTATTAGAAGAATATTCTGATTTATTATCAGCCCTGCCAAATTGTCTCTGTCTCTTCCTACTTCCTACCTCACCTTCTTTTACACCTGTTTTTATTATGAATGCAACTTTGTATTTTCTTCTAATGAATTAATTTATATTTTGTTAGGCACTCTCTCTTTGTTCTCTTCCCTATGCATATCAGTTTACTCCATTCCTCCCATGCCAGTGTGAGCACCCATCAACACCAGGTGGGGTAATTTTTCCAGTTGTCTTTTAGGATCTAAAAAACCTGGAACAAAATACAAAGATTAGACAAAAGATTAGACTCATCACATACGCCGCTGATACAACATGCATGCTCACTACATATACACGTTGAATTTATTCATCGTACACACATTCTCCACACATACACTGCATGTTCCCCTTCTCAATGTACCCCCCTTCCTGCTTCAATTGCACTGTTCAATTGCGCTCTACATGCATACCTGCCAACATTTCTAATGGACAAAGTGGGACAGTCTAATTTTGGGAGTGTGGCAAGTGGCGTGGCTGTTATGAGTAATTTGTTTTAATTTACCGATATTTTAGCAACAAAAATGTAATTTAGAAGAACAATGTATCTTATTTACACAGACTGATTTCTAAACATATTCATTTAGCCCTGAGCAGTCTTTGTGTGTTTGAATGTTAGCATGTTTTTATGTGTAGTGTTGGTTTTTGAATGCAGAGGTATATGTATATACACTTTTGGTGTTTAACCCCTTAAGGACCAAACATCTGGAATAAAAGGGAATCATGACATGTCACACATGTCATGTGTCCTTAAAGGACCACTATAGTGCCAGAAAAACATACTCGTTTTCCTGGCACTATAGTGCGCTGAGGGTGCCCCCACCCCAGGCGGGGAGCTCTCCTCCTCCTCTCCGCCTCCGATCCTCCTCCTGGGCTGAATGCGCATGCGCGGCAAGAGCTGCGCGCGCATTCAGCCTGTCTCATAGGAAAGCATTTACACTTTTCACAGTGAGAAGCACGCAAGCGCCTCTAGCGGCTGTCAATGAGACAGCCACTAGAGGATTTGGAGGCTGGATTAACCCATTTATAAACATAGCTGTTTCTCTGAAACTGCTATGTTTATAAAAAAAAAAGGGGTTAATCCTAGAGGGACCTGGCACCCAGACCACTTCATTAAGCTGAAGTGGTCTGGGTGCCTAGAGTGGTCCTTTAAGGGGTTAATGCAGAGGTGTGTTTGTATGTAGTGTTGACGTTTTAATTCAAGACTGTGTTTGTATGTAGTTTCAATAACAGGGGGGACATGATAGAAACATTTAAATATATAAAGGGAATCAACACAGTAAAGGAGGAGACTATATTTAAAAGAAGAAAAACTACCACAACAAGAGGACATAGTCTTAAATTAGAGGGACAAAGGTTTAAAAATAATATCAGGAAGTATTACTTTACTGAGAGGGTAGTGGATGCATGGAATAGCCTTCCAGCTGAAGTGGTAGAGGTTAACACAGTAAAGGAGTTTAAGCATGCATGGGATAGGCATAAGGCTATCCTAACTATAAGATAAGGCTAGGGACTAATGAAAGTTTTTAGAAAATTGGGCAGACTAGATGGGCCGAATGGTTCTTATCTGCCGTCACATTCTATGTTTCTATGTTTCTAATAAAAGACTTGCTGAAGTTTAAATGCATAGGTGTATTTGTGTGTAGTGTTGGTGTTTCGAATGCGGAGATGTATGCACATATACACATACACTGCCACACACACTGTTAAAAAACACATACACCCACACAGATACACACACACACACTGAATCACATGCAGATACACATATATACGCACTGAAACACATACAGATATAAAGACTTATATACACACACTGACACACATTCATATACATATACAGATACACACACTGACACATATACAGACAAACAGATACACAACCTGACACACATGTAGATATAAAGACATACAGATACAAACACTGACTCACATGCAGATACTCAGACACACAGATACACACACTGACTACATACAGATACACAGACATACATACGGATATACACACTGACACATACACACACAGATACACATTGACAACATACAGATACACATTGACAACATACAGATACATAGATATACACCATGACACCATAAAGATACATACAGATACACAGACACATATACTGACAGACATATTGACACACGCAGGCAAATAGACTGACAGACATACTGTCACACACACAAAAACATACACCAACAGAAATACTGACACAGACACATACACTGACAGACATACTGACACACACACAGATACATACAATGACAGGTATACTTACACACACAGACACATACACTGATAGACATACTGAATGTTTACTGACACACATAGATACAAACACTGACAAACATACTGACACATACAGACACATTCACTGACAGACATTCTGACACACGCACAGATCCATATACTGACAGACATTCTGACACACACAGATACATACACTGACAGACATACTGACACACGCACAGACAGATACACAGACAGACAGACTGACTTTTATAGCCACCCTCCAGTTTCTGACCTTTTTGCGGGAGGGTGGCTTCCCTTGGGTCCACTGTGCTGGTTGAGGCTGTTGGGAGTTAGTCTCTGGTGCTCCAGGCCCTTCACCTTCTTCGCTGACTCCTCCCCCTTCCACATGGCTATGGTTTCTCTGGGAGGAAGTGACTGGCTGCCACTTCCTCCATGGCTGCCGATAGGAAGGGGGCCCGAGTGCACTGTTAAAGGGCCACAGCTCAGACCGGGCCCCTGCTGACAAATGCCCACAGGGTGGCATTAAGTGCATGGCTTACCCGATAGGACCTCCTAGTATGGAGGCCCCAGTGCAGCCAAACAACCAGCACTGGTGGGGACATGGGGGTAAAAAAATAAATTGTTAAGGGCAGTGGGCCCACGAGGCAGCTGCTTTGGGCCCCCCAGGAATATCAAGCCCGGGCCAGCTGCCCGATTTGCCCCCCGTTAAAGACGGCCCTGGAATTCCTAGAAGAGAGGAAGATTAGAATAGAAAAAAGGGACAGGGGATTTGGCCCCAAAATAGGGACTGTTCGTCCTAAGTAGGGACACTTGGCAGGTATGCTGCATGCACAATCTTCACACGTATTGACACTCTGCATTGCATATACACCAACCGTGTACACATGTTACACTGTAAGTATACTTTCCATGGATTCTTTCATTTTCCCAATGGAAATGCCTTCCTTATTCTATCTGAAATTCTATCCCCCTATTCTCCAATCGCAAAAATTGTTCTTCTTTATGGAACCCAATTAATTGAACAGTTAAATTCCATACCCAAAGTGCAGCACTACTCACACAAAGTGCCAAGTACACAGGACACACTGCAAACACGTTTATGATGCATATGGCACACTACAAATACATTTCACTCTCAGTTTATGCTCATAAATACACTATAAAAGTACACATATGCTGCCCATGTATCCTGTACACATTGAACATATACTATCCAGACACACATTGCACATGGTAGATACAGTCTTAGTGTGCATACTCTACACAGAAGGTATATTTGTACTGCACTGAAAGCAACATAAAAAATACTCACACTCTGTACATTGCCTGTGTTTCTCAGTGAACTAGTACTGCAAATATGAAGATTGCACAACATTGAAAATAAACAATCTATACAAACACTGCATATATTCTCGCCATGCATTCTGAAACATGTTGTGTGCACAGTCCGCACACAACAAATACATTCTCATTGCACACAATGTAAACAAACTACATATAAACATACTGAAACTAAGTGCATAAGAGGGGCACTATTCAAGCTCAAAGATTTTTGGTACCTGTGCCGTGAGTAAAAGCCCCTGCTTGATAAAGACACACATTGTGTCGAAACGTTGCCTGTCATTTGGGATGATTGAATAAAACACACATTGCACCCTAAATAACCGAATGATGGTGGAGCTTTATGTCTTTGTATAAACATACTGAAGCATAGTGAAAATCTAATGTATGTGTGCCTAAGAATTCATATATTATATTTCAATTTTTAAACCCTCAAAAATTGTGTAAAAAGCACACATGTAGACTTTACTTGAAAGCCATTTAATGCTAATCTTATATATAAAATAAATTATACAGTATATATATATATATATATATATATATACACACACACACACACACACATCAGATCATCATAATCACTAAGTACACAACACTGTAGCTTCACAGTGACAAAAACCACACACTGCAATAACTAGTGGGAATGACAAGCATACCGTGGAATTAAACCAGACTAACTACACTACACACAATGCATACTATTGCTTGAGTCACCACCAAACACAATGCTTAACACAGTATGCCTCATTCACTCTCTGCAACATATTTCACAACGAATGCTGCATTTTTAGACTCCTCTTGTCATGTTTACAACACTGTACACAGCAACACACAGAGTATACAGATTTGATGTATGCACACTGCATCCCCACTGACCATATTTCACACATCCACTGCTGCTTCAATTCCACGGCTTACCTCCTCCAGCTGTGCATTCGCTTGCTAATGTGACTGAGACCAGCTCCCTGGTACTAGACCAGGGACTTGTTGATTGGAAGTAAAGGACGATAAGGGGAGAAAGGGAAGAGGTTGATTAAAAGAGAGAGCGAGAGAGAGCGAGATAGAGCTAATAGGTAAGGAATATGCTTTCCTAATCCTACTTATATCTCTGCCTCTGTGTTTCTCCTCCCTCCCTCTTTCTTTTAATAAACCCATTTTAGCCTTCGTTCTCTACACATCCTCTATTTCATTCGCATTCCTCTCTTTAATTCTGTGTCCTATCTTCCATTCAGTCTCATTTTATTTTAGATCATCTATCTTTCTATTTCATTTTTAGTTATTGTTTCTTAATATGGGAACACTTTTTCTCTTTACTTGCTTACAACCTGCCTCCTTCTAAATTTCCTCTTCTTGTCAGATGCCTATTTCCGCTCCTATTTCCTGTTTTCCATTTCCAGTTTTTCTTCCTGGTCCCCATTTCCTCTGTGTAATCCTGGCACTACTTTCCGGGAATATCTTTCTTTCTGCACTTCTTATAATTTTAATGTTTTAATGTGCATTCAGTTTTTTTTTTTTTTTGTTTACGTTTCTTTAAGTTGCTAATTTTTTTCTCTGTTTTTTACCTTTTATTTCACCTGTCAACGTTGAGTCTCAAAATTACAGTGGGGAGCATTTATACAAGAAGGATTATAATCCCCCAGGAGTTGGACAACTTCCTAGAAAGATCTGAATCTAATGTTGGACAGAACTTGCATATAAAATGCTTTGTATTTGGTATAGGTGTGTATTTTAACGTTCATTTTCTGTGTATCTTTTATATAAGGTATTTTATTTTAAATAATACAAACATCACTTCGTAAGTATGTCTGAAATTCACATTCACCAATGATTTGTCAATACAGCAAAGATACATAGCAATTTAGCATTAATCAAAAATACAATCTTTTTTTATTGATATGTTTTCTATTAATGTTGATGGCTTTCCATTAAGAAAACACATATAAGCAATTATTTATATCATACTAAATGCATAAATCTCAGCTTTTTTCCAGTATTGCCCCTAATTGTTAGTGACTAGCCGCTTATCACTAATGTCGCATTCCTTAAAGAGTATCAATGGTTTCCCAAATGATCTTACCTTTAATGACAGAGAATTACCAACTGGCATTTCTCTTAACAACTTTTATAGGGTATTATCAGAGCAGATAATTACTTTTTACTGATTGGTTTCCAAGTTTGCAATTATAGGCTGCTGCTAATCTTGACATTTTAAAAGTAAATAGTGAGTGGCAGTCACACCAAAACAAATAACAAATAAAATTAGTACAGATGTTAGAAGGTGGGGACCTGTTCCGTTTAGGGAGCAATGAGTAACAGGAAGAGCATCACATCTCCCTCGCCGATGCCCTGCTCTTTCTCTCCCCAGGATACACTGTGTAGCGGCAGAGTATGCACCTGCCATGCAGGTAGGCAGGTGCCTACTCTGTCTTGGTTAGTCAGTGGCAGCTTTAGGGGTGCCCTAAGATGGCCAGCCAGCCACCTCCTGGGCCCCCTGTCACAGACCATTTGCCCACTCCCAACGGTATCCCCCACCCTCTGGAGGCTGTGCTGGGTGCACCCTGCGCACCTGCCCAGGAATGTGCCTGAGGCCAGGGACCTAATGCTGCATTCCAGCACTATAGTGTCAGCAATACAGGTTTGTATTTTTGACATTCCTTCAAGTAAGAAAATACAACCTACAAAAATGTTAAGATACAGTGTACCACATATTGAAGTGTATCAAAATTGTGCAAAATAGCTAAACATTTCTTCTAAAAAGTACAGTGCACCAGAAATAGTCATAGACTATAGTGTAAATGTCCTTTAAAAAACATTTAATTATTATACATTTTGTGTTTGACCATATATATATAAAACACTATTAAATTTTAATTAAGAAAATACAACCTTCAAAAATGTAAAGTTACAGTCCTATATTCTAATGTGTATATAAATGGTGATAATATGTTTCCATACATCATGTTAAACTTTGTTAATCTTCTATATCTCAGAATAGCAATTCGGCTAATATCTTAAATAGTAAAGTGCACAATTTGCCTAATAAAAATGAAGCCACTATTGTCATTACCTGGATAAAAGTAGTCCAATTTATGAAGAGCTTAAAGGATCACTATAGTGTCAGGAAAACAAACCTGTTTTCTTGACACTATGTCATCCTTGGGTGACCCTCACCCTCAGGGTCCCCCTCCTGTGGCGCTTTATCCTGGTGACCTCTCCTCCCCCGCCGACGTCAGCTCCCGAGTGTAGCGGAATGCGCATACGTGGCAAGAGCCGCGCGCGCATTCTAACAGTCCATAGGAAAGCATTTTTCAATGCTTTCCTACGGACTTTCTGCACGCAAATTTCGCATCCAGCGTCGCAGTAGCGGCTCTAGTGGCTTTCAGGAAGACAGCCACTAGAGGTTGGATTAACCCTGCTATGTAAACATAGCAGTTTCTCTAAAACTGCTATGTTTACATGTCAAGGGTTGAAACCTGAAGGACCTGTCACCCAGACCAATTCATTTAGCTGAAATGGTCTGGGTGACTATAGTGGTCCTTTAACAAAACAAAAAAAAGCAAACAAGAAATGTCCCTATTTAAAGGGTTAATCTTCTAGTTTTTTTTTTTTTTTACTTAAAGCGGCACTGTCATGCCAAACTTACCTTTCTTTAATCGATTCCTCTTCTCTCCCTGTCTCAGGTTCTGTCCTTTATTTCTTCCTGTCTGCTCTAGTTTTCTTTAAAACATAAGACAAAATAGGGACTATTTGTCTTATGGAGGTTTCCTACGCCTGACCATCTCTGACAAGCGGAGGAGCAAAGTGTGCTTCATTTCCAGTGGTCAGAGAAATTTTCCCACAATTCTTAGCTTGTCCTCCCTGTTCCCGCGATGCTTCCTGTCACTTTTTCCGAAATACCTGGCGCCGGCGAAACTACCGAATTGCATCATAACAGAATGAGAACAGTTTGTTCATTCATGTTAGAACGCAATTCAGGACTTTATTCGTATCGGAATTTCATTTGAATGAATAAAACTCTGAATCTTTTCATGCGCGGCTGCATCTTGCAGCCTCTTAGTAGATAGCTCCCTAATTCCCACAGTATCAGGGAACTATCTACCCGAAGGCTGAAAGACATAAATTGGTCTTTCAGCCAAATTTACTAATACAAAATATTAGTATACTTTTCATTTTGGGCCCCTACTCATGGGTGGGGGCCAAGAGGGACCCTATGTCCCCCATTTAGTTGAATAGCCCCCACTCGCGGGCCATGGGCTGCTCACTGTTTAGTAGACATGCCCTACTGGCGGCAGATTTCAATCTCCCTTATGCTGTTATGGGGGTCATATTGGCCAAAGTTAGCATTTTGTAATTATTTTTTTTTTGCATTTTTAAAAAACAAAAACTGCACTTTTACTGGTGATATCGTCGTGATAAGTTTTACTTTTTAAAACACTCATATTTGTATTGAACAAATATGAGTGTTAAAAACAGTAAAACTTATCACGACGATGATAGGATATCAAATATCCTATACTCTGCCCTTGGGTTTTTACGTCCAAGGTGCATTATCTTGCACTTATCCACATTAAATGTCAGTTGCCACAGCTCTGACCATTTTTCTAATTTTTCTAAATCATTTGCCATTTGGCTTACCCCTCTTGGAACATCAACCCTGTTACAAATTTTAGTATCGTCAGCAAAAAGACATACCTTACCATCAAGACCTTCTGCAATATCACTAATAAAAATATTAAAGAGAATGGGTCCAAGTACAGATCCCTGAGGTACCCCACTGGTAACTAGACCTTGCTTTGAATATACTCCATTGACTACAACCCTCTGTTGCCTGTCATTTAGCCACTGCCTAACCCATTCAACAATATTGGAATCCAAACTTAAAGATTGCAGTTTATTGATAAGTCTTCTATGTGCAACAGTGTCAAAAGCCTTACTGAAATCTAGGTAAGCAACCACCCTGATCTATTATTTTAGTTACCCAATCAAAGAAATCAATAAGATTAGTTTGGCATGATCTCCCTGAAGTAAACTCATGTTGTCTCTGATCTTGAAATCCATGTGATTTTAGATGTTCAACAATCCTATCCTTTAACATGGTTTCCATTACTTTCCACACTACTGAAGTAAGGCTTACTGGCCTATAGTTGCCCTACTCCTCCCTACTACCTTTCTTGTGAATGGGCACAACATTCGCTAACTTCCAATCTTCTGGGACTACACCTGTTAACAATGATTGGTTAAATAAATCTGTTAGTGGTTTTGCTAGTACACCACTAAGTTCTTTTAATAACTTTGGGTGTATCGCATCAGGCCCAATCCACTTATTTGTCTTTACTTTTGACAGTTGAAATAGAACCTCTTCCTCTGTAAACTCACATGTAACAAATGGCTCATTTGTCCTTTTTCCTAACTGAGGCCCCTTTCCTTCAATTTAATCTGTAAATACTGAACAAAAATATTCATTGAGGCAATCAGCTAGACCTTTATCCTCTTCTACATACATTCATTCTTTTGTTTTTAATGTAACTAATCCTTGTTTTACTTTCCTTTTCTCATTTATGTATCTAAAAAAAAATGTATCACCCTTTTTTACTGACTGTACTATTTTCTCTTCTGTGTGTGCTTTGGAGGCTGTTATGACTTGCTTAGCCTCTTTCTGTCTGATCTTATAGATCTGTCTGTCTTCCTCACTCTGGTTTTTTTTATAATTACTAAATACTAACATTTTGGTTTTTACTATTTTGGCCACATCTGCGGAGTACCACAGTGGTTTCTTAAATTTTTTGCTTTTACTGACAAGCCTAATGCAATTTTCTGTTGCCTTCGGCAGTGCAACTTTTAAATAATCACATTTCTCTTGGACTCCATTTAAACTGATCCAGTCTGACAAAGACTCTTTTACGCATATTCTAATTTTAGAAAAGTCTGTTTTTCTAAAGTCTAAAACTTTTGTTTTTGTGTGGTGTGACTCAGTCACTGTTTTTATATTAAACCACACTGACTGGTGATCGCTGGATCCTAAACTTTCACCTACAGTAATATCTGATACCAAATCTCCATTTGTAAACACTAAATCTAGTATGGCCTCCTTACGAGTTGGTTCCTCAACGAGTTGTTTTAGAGACAATCCCAGTATGGAGTTTAAAATATGTGTGCTCCTGGCACAAGCAGCTATTTTGGATTTCCAGTTAACATCAGGAAGAGTAAAGTCACCCATGATGATATGATCATATATGATCATACATTGCATAAGCCTGCCACAATGTTAATGTACCCCATCTTTGGCAGGTCCTACTCTGACAGCATAATGTCTGCTCTTATTATTATTAGGGATGTGCATGATCCAAATATTCGGTTCGGAAATTCGGGTAAGAAAAAAAATTAGGCAATTCTGGACTTCGGGGGGCAGAAGAAATTGGGGGGAGAAGAAATTGGGAGGGAGGGGGGGGAGAAGGAATTGTCAGGAGGGGGAGAGAAGAAATTGGGAGTGGAGGGGGGAAGAAGAAATTGTCAGGAGGGGGGAAAGAAGAAATTGGGATGGAGGGGGGAAGAAGGAATCTGTCAGGGGAGAAGAAATTGGGAGGGGGGGGAAGAAGAAGTCAGGGGGGAAGAAGAAAAGGGAAGAATAAACTGTCAGGAGGGGGGAAGAAGAAATGGGAGGGAGGGAGAGAAGAAGGAATTGTCAGGAGTGGGGGGGGAGAAGAAATGGGAGGGTGGGAGAAAGAAATTGGTAGGGAGGGGGGGAGAAGAAATGGGGAGGGTGGGAGAAAAAAATTTGGTAGGTGAGGGGGGAGAAGAAATGGGGAGGGGGAGAAGAAGAAATTGGTAGGGAGGGGGAGAAGAAATGGGGAGGGGGGAGAAGAAGAAATTGGTAGGGGAGGGAGGAGAAGAAGAAGTGGAGGGAGGAGGAAGAAGAAGAAATGAGGGGGGAGAAGAAATGGGGAGGTTGGGAGAAGAGAAAATTGGTAGGGGAGGGGGAGAAGAAGAAATTGACAGGGGAGAAGAAGAAATTGGTGGGGGGAGAAGAAATTGACAGGGGTGAGAGTGACAGGGGAGGGAGGGGTAATGAGAGTAGGAAGGGGGAGGGGAGAAGAGAGTGACAAGGGAGAGGGGGGAGAAGAGAGTGACAAGGGAGGGAGAGGGGGGAGAAGAGAGTGACAAGGGAGGGGTGAGAGATTGACATCCATCACACACACATGCAATGCACCCCTTGCAAACAGAAAAACGCACAATGCATTACGCACAATGCATTACACACACAGACACACACACACACACACACAAACAAACAATGCAACCCTTACACACAATGCATCCCTTACACACACAGAAACACACAATACATTCCTTACACACACTCCATGCACCCCTTACACACACTCAATGCACCCCTTACACACGCACACACTGCATCCTGTACATACACAGAAACACACTTTGCAGCCCTTACACATACAAACTCAGATTCACACAATGCATTCCTTACACACATATCAGGACATCCCCTACACACTCCACCCCCTGTGAACAAACTCATTGGTGGAACATGAAGGTGGACCCTGGGACCCAGACCTTGAGCTGTGTAAAGGGCCCCCAAAAAATGGAGCTGCTTCCCGTTCTCCCAGAACATTGATTTTTGTGACCACAGTTACAAACAGCCTCCAGAGAGCCTGTTCTACACCAGACCAGTGGAGCCAGACTGCAGCTAGAGCCCATCATCATCCTCATCTCGTTGTAAGTAGGCAATCTAGTATATTATTCGTGGCACTAATCTCTAATTTACCTCACATTAAAGAAACACTATAGTCCCCAGAACCACTGCAGCTTAATGTAGTTGTTCTGGTGTCTATAGCCTGTCCCTGTATGCCTTATATTGTAAACACGGCGGCACTGCAGCACTGGCGTTAGTTAACATGGCAGATCATATGGGTGGAGCATTGTGATGTCACATGGGGGGGCGGCAAACTTTACTTTTGCCTAGGGCGGCAAAAATCCTTGCACCGGCCCTGGTTACACCTAGCAGAAACCCACCACACAGACACTATGGGGGAGGACAGAGAGTGACACACATTTTTGCAAATTAAATCTGAAAGGAAAAAATAGCTTGTTGTGACTATAGCGGAGTTGGAGTATTTTTCCAGATAAGCTTATTTGATCTTTTTTTTCTTTCAGATTTAATCTGGGAAAATTCAGTGTTTAGTAAATAGCCCTGCCAATGCCCAGGTCTAAGCAGCATTTCCAAACATTCAAATTTGAAATTTGTGTCAGGACAAGTAGATTGTCTCGATGGACCACTTGATTGGGCGGCCACTTTATTCCTTTGGAAAAGTAGATTGTTTTTTAAAAATGTCCACACCCATGCATTTGCACAAGTAGACAACTCAGGGTATTCAAAATGGGTTATATCCATTTATTTTATTTTTTTAGTAGCCCCAATTTTAGTTTTTACACATTGAAATTCACCAGGTTGGTTTGCTGCTCCTGTGTTACCTTTGAGATGCATGGCAACCCAGGAATGAGGTTTCCCCCATCATAGCATATCATTTGCAGAAGTAGACACAGGGTATTCAAAATGTACAGTGTTTATTTGTAGCCACTTAGCAACAAAAAATGACAATTTCAAGCGGCACTGTCATGCCGAACTTACCTTTCCTCAATGTCTTCCTCTTCTCCCCCTCTCTCGGGATCTGTTATTCTTTTCTTCCTATCTTCTTTAGTTTTCTTTAAAATCATAAGACAAAGTAGGGACTCTTTGCCTTATGGAGGTTTCCTCCGCTTGACCAGCTCTGACCAGCGGAGGAGCAAAGTGTGCTTCATTTCCGCTGGTCAGAGCAATTTTCCCATGATCCTTACCTTTCCTCTGTGTTCCCGCGATGCTTCCTGTCATTTTACACTAAACTGCCAAATTGCGTTCTAACTGAATGAGAACAGTATGTACGTTTGTTTTAGAACGCAATTCGGCACTTTATTTGGATCGGAATTTCATTCGAATGAATGAAACTCCGATTCAATTTGTGCCACAGCTGCATCTTGCAGCCGCTTAGTAGATAACTCCCTAATTCCCACGGTATCAGGGAGCTATCTACTAAAAGGCTGAAAGACCTAAATTGGTTTTTCAGCCACATTTACTAATACTAAGTAAAAATTACTTAGTATTAGTAAATAATATGCCCCTACTCGCTATACCGCGAGCAGGGGCATGTCTGGTAAACAGTGAACAGCCTGTGGCTGCTCACTGCAAAAAAAAAATATTGGCCCCCACCCCTAAACGACGGGTGGGGGCCCTAATGTAAAATAAGGGGGGAGACCTAACGTTCCCCCCCCGACCCCCACCCCTGCGCGGTGGGTGGGGGTCATAATGATAATGGGGGGGGAAACCTACTGCCCCCCCCCGCCCCCACCCCTGGGCGGCGGGTGGGGGCCATAATGATAATGGGGGAGGACCTACTGTCCCCCCCCCGGCCCTCACCCCTGGGCGGCGGGTGGGGGTCATAATGATAATGGGGGGGTGGGACCTACTGCCCCCCCGGCCCCCACACCTGGGCGGCGGCCATAATGATAATGAGGGGGGGACCTACTGTCCACCCCCCGTCCGGCCCCCAGTGCTGGGCGGCGGGTGGGGGCCAAATGATAATGAGGGGGGGGACCTACTGTCCACCCCCCCTCCGGCCCCCACCCCTCCGGCCCCCAGTGCTCTGTGTCATTTTACACAGCGTAGGAAAATTCCAAAGAACTTTCCCACGCTGTGTAAAATGACACAGTGCACTGTGATTGGATGGCTTGAAATCCATCCAATCACAGTGCTCTGTGTTATTTTACACAGTGTGGGAAAATTCAAAAGAACTTTCCCACGCTGTGTAAAATGACACAGAGGACTGTGATTGGATGGATTTCAAGCCATCCAATCACAGTGCTCTGTGTCATTTTACACAGTGGGAAAATTCTTTTGAATTTTCCCACGCTGTGTAAAATGACAAAGAGCACTCTGATTGGCTTAAACCCACCAAGAAGAGTGTTCTTAGCCTAATTGCAGGGCGGGGCAAGGCTTTATAAGCCTTCCCCCGCCCTGCGGAGCTCATTCTGCGCGGAGCCCTCCATGGGTGAAGATGGATTCTTTTTTTGCGTTCGGGTTTTTTCTTTTTCGTCTGTTTTTTTTTTGCGCTCAGGATTTTTTTTTTTTTTTTAGTTCGACGGTTATGATGGTTTTTTATTTGGCCTTTTTTGGGGCTGAAAAATGAAGATTTGAGAAAAAAGAAGATGTCGAATGGTAAGTTTACT